TCACTCAAGCAGTCAAGCATAAACACATTTTTCAGAAGTAAAGACAACTTCTGTAACTTTTTAATTAAAGCATAAAAGCCCCTAATTAAAGAGACATAAATCACCGAGAAACCTTTAAATCTTCGTAATCCTCTGTGGCATTATACTTATGTTTCCAGCTGCATTCACTCCGACCTCAAAGGCAACAGGGTCTAGAGGGGGACAGCTGCTTTGCAATGTCCTGGAGCGGTGGCTCCGTGGGACCAGGCGTTTGGTGGCCGTGTCGTGGTGGAGTTGCTGGCGTGGAGCCTGTGCTGGTTGGGCCTGGAGTAAGAGGCCCCAGGGACCTTGAAATGGGAGCACCCAGCCCCATTTCTCTCTTCACCTCCATCCACACTCAGAGTTCTTGGTGGGTCAAGATGGCAGCCACCTCCACGAGAGAGGGGAAAAGCCAAACAACACCAAGAGGAAACAATCAGACGAGTCAACAATATAAAACATCCCATAAGACCATCAGCCCAGGTTTCTCAAAAAGTCAGTGTCGTGAAAGAGATAAGTTGGAAGACTACATTGGATTAAAGGAGACGCAAGGGACTCTACAATATGCGAATTTTGATTAGATCTTGGTTATTAAAAAACAACTCTAAAAATATTGCTTGCAATGATGGAAACATTGAATACGGACTTGATGTTAGATGACATTATAGAATTATTAATTTTATTATGCATAATATGGTATTGCAGGTACATAGGGTAATGTCTTATTCTCAAGAGAGGTTTGCCGAAGTACCTAGAAGTGCAATTTCATCATGTCCACAAATGTGACAAAATGATAATTATTGAGTATAGGTGGAGGACATCCACGTGTTCATTGTATTAATTTTAGACTGTTTAGGTATGAAGCAATTTTGTAACACCTTGGGGAAAAAGAATGGCAGCTTCTTTTTCTCTGTCTCTTAGAGATCTCGCTCTATATGTAAGTCACCAATCTATTAATGTCGTGACAGAATCAGGTTGGGCTAGAATATCTGGACAAATTTTCCTTGCTGCTGTGGGTTAATATCTGGATGTCATGAATGTACCCCTTTCCAGGTTTTAAAATGATAGGAGCTCTAAGAACAGGGTAGCTATTCGGCTCTTCCCTCTGCAGCACTCGTGTGCCTGAGGACTCAAACCTGATCAGCACAGTGGTCCTTTTTCTCATGGAGCTCCCAGCCTAGCACAGGAGACAGATGAGGACCAGTCCATCAGCCCCATGGTGTACTCGTCCCACGCAGAGGCTCTGACACATATGTAATGACATCTCCCATGATGCCTGGTGCCCCCCAAATATTTGTGATATCACGATCCTTCTTCCTCTGTTTAAAAACGGTCATCAAGTTCATCATAGACATCTCAAAGTGCTGTTCTGTTGCACATTGCCACTGGATGCTGGGGTTGCTGCAGGAAAGCGAGGGCGAGGTAGACCACAGAACCTTTCAACTGGCTGGATCCACTGTGGAACTTGAGGTGGTGACCAGGGTCTGGAAAGGGACTAGTCTCTAAGATCCAAGTGCACCAGCAAAGACATATATATTTGTGTGTGTGTGTGTGTGTATGTGTGTGTATCTGAGTGGAAATCTAGATAAATTTCCTGGACTAGACCAAGAAACCTCCAAACTTTCTAGCTCCTGGGTGCAGTCGCTTCCTCCAGCGGCTCAGTGCATGAGGAAGCAGAGTGGCATTGTGTGGGAGGGAGGCCTGCATGGGGCCAGTCAAGACAGTAGCCTATCCACGCAGTTGGAGAAGGAAATGTCCCTGGTACAGCCTTCCCTCCAAGTAAGTTTTGAACAGTTCTTTGTCAAAACTGAAAAGGGCTTTAATTTAGAGAGTTAGAGCTGGAGGGACCTTGGAGATCACTGGGGCCCATGGTTTTCAAAGGGTGCTGCCATGAAGTTGTAGGACTCTGTGAAAGTTCAAATTCAAGTCAGGACTCAGTTTGAAAGCCAGAAATCTAGTCCAACCCACTCACCTTGTAGAAGATGAGTAAGTGTATTAGTTTCCTAGGGCTGCGTAACAAAGTACTGCAATCTGAGTAGCTTAACAGAAATTTACCCTCTCACAGTTCTGGAGGCTAGAAGTCCAAGGTCAAGGTGTCGGCAGGGTCGTGCTCCCTCTGAAGGCACTAGGGAAGGGTCTGTTCCAAGCCTCTCTCTCAGCTTCTGATAATTCCTTGCCTTATGGCAGAATGACTCCAATTATGAGGGATACAGCATTCTCCCAGGGTGCCCATCTATGTCCAAATGTCCCCTTTTCATAAAGACTTAGTCATATTGGATTAGGGGCCCATCCTACTACAGGATGACCTCATCTTAACTAATTGTGTCTACAATGACCCTATTTGCAACAAAATCACATTCTCAGGTACTGGTGGTTAGGACGTTAGTATATGAATTTGAGGGGGGGACACAATTTAACCCATAACAATGAGCTAGAGGAACATGGACTTGGCTGGCCATGGTCCCCAAGCCTGGGTCTGGGTGTCCTCATTCACCATCCAGAACTCTCTTCATTATTGCAAGCTGCCTCCCACTTGATGCTCAGATTAGACATGGGATTCCCACACACATGCTTCTCTTAGCCCCAGCGTAGGATCCTTTGTCGGTTTTGGGGTGCTCCTCACTCAACCTCTTTTTATGAGCACCCAATCTCCCTTTTGGGGAACCCCTACTGGGTGGCACTTCCTTGGCAGGCGGTACTTGTTTCCGATTCTCCAGTGGGCGGGGGTGGACACTGCCTTAGACTCAGCCAGTTGGACCCCACTCTCCGGGGCTTGGTACTCTGAGTGAGTGACGGACGACCTGGAGGCTTCACTTGGGCTCCAGTGCTGCACCACCCTGTCCTGTAGGGCGGCCTCGCAGGGCCTCCTCCTGGGTCATCCTCTAGAACTCCCTGGCTTCCTACTTTTGTGAGTCCCTGATGTTCTTTTAGTTAAGTTCCATTTTTGCTTACCAGAGGCAGACGGAATCCATTTCCGTTACTTATGGAAGCAAGCTCTGATGGACACACCCACGGTGTCACTAAATGCACTTTAATTTTAGGATGTGCCAGGACACATCATGAGGCCCAAAAGATGACAAACTGCCACTATGTGGCTTTTTTTTTTTCCTGAGTGAGACCTCAGACCCGTTCTTTGCAGGGGTGACTGGCCCAACCAGGTTGGCGGGGGCGAGTAGGGTAGAGGAGCAACTTTGTATTCCGCAGCAGCCACGCTGCGTGTCCCTGGTGCCAGGAAACAGCTTCACCCCTGCACGTCACAGGGCCCAGTGATTCGATCTTGTTAAATTTGAGCCTAAACCAAACAGATAAGCGCTGTATCATCGCCACGAATTAATCCACATATGTTTATCTTCGCAAAGGTTTGCCGTGGTGTCATCGTGTCACTGTAAACAGGCTGCGGAGGTCACTCTTAACTAGTTTAATTTGTTTTCAGATATATATGTGTGTGTTGGGCGGCCGGACCTCCCCTAAACCAAATTATTTGGAAAAACAGCATTAAGGCGAGTGAAGTAATATACATGGCAAATCAAGATCTTGGGTTTTCTGTTTTTTTTTTTTTTTTTCCCTCCTTCAGGAATAAAAAAGACATGTAGGGGGTTTATTTTTGATTAAACGCCTTAGCCTTGCTTTGGTATTTATCTTCCTGTGGCAGCCCCTGATCTGGTCACAATGTGTAATTCCATTAGCATTATCTCTCAATTCATTTGAGAGGGGCTCCAGCCTGGACAGCCGACGTATAAAAGGCTACAATGTTCTAGAGGCTTATTTCTTATTTCTTCAGCAAGTTTATTCCTTTATCGGCAGCTCATTTAAAGGGAGCTAAAGGAGAGCCAGTCAAATCATTAAGAGAGAGTTTAACGTGGATTTTTTAAAGGCAAACCCAAAAGCTTTTCAGAAAAATAAAAAGGTTAAATTAAATAAATGAACACTGGCCCACAGCAAGCATAACTGATGACAGAGGATAATATGTAAGGGTCTCAGATTTATGAAGGAGGTTTTATCTTTGTGCTTTTAATGAGAAAAGCGATTTTGATTGGGTGTCAGGACTCCCGAGTGTTTCTAGCGGAGCCCTTAATTGACCCGGTGACCCTTTCTCTCCCTGCAGCCCACTCCCATCTTTGACTCTTGTCCACCCCAGAAGTAATGCTGGGAGGAAGAAGGAGATGATCTTTCTCAAGGGCCTTGAGGGCCTGCACAGAAAGACGAGGGCGGATGGAAGGCAGAGGTGGACAATTGTCACGTGTCCATGCTGATGGGAGGCAGGTGCCCAGGGGGAGAGGGACTGCGCAGGTAAATGCCCAGACCTGAGTTTTAACCCGCCCCTCCCAGAGGGACCTTTTCACCTCGTGGCTGGTGGGTCACCTTCCCAGCTGGCTGTGCTGTCTCCTTCCTCCTTACCCTTGTTCACCCCTTCATGGGAGTGTCTATCAGCCAAGCGACATCCAGAAGATGGATGGCAGGTGGAAAGAGGAGAAGATGCTGAGGGTCGGGGAAGCTCGTGATGCAGGCTCCTGGGAGCTGTGTGTACAGTGAGGCACCTGTAATCCTGTTTCCTGGGAACAGGATTTAAGGTGTCAAAAGAGTGCATGCTATGCAGCATTTTGAGAGTGAAGTTGGGCGGGAAGGTGACAGACGCCTGCCCTTGGCCTTCAAAATTGCAACACTAATACATTGGAAAGGGAGGCTGGGACAGCCTTTTTTGAGGGGCCAATAGCCCCTAGTCCTGTGCTAAGTACTTTATGTGCATTATGTTCTTTAAAAAGCACTACCACGCTTAAAGAAAAAAAATCTAGACCCTCATCAGTAAATTTTTTGAGCACTCCCAGCATACGTACGTGTATTTATTTACAAGTTATATACATACACTATTGTAGTAATGCATTATTTATATTATAATATGTGCCCAACTGTATATATTTTTAAAGGGTGAGAAAAATAAATGGAAACAGAAGTTACAATACTTTCTCCCTGCATTCCCACAGAGTCGTGGGCAGATGCTGGACGCTCACAGTCCACTCTGGCAATTTCCACTCCTCATGACCTGCTTGAAAGGTAGGATCTGTCACTTCCTTTGTGTGGATGAAGAACTGTGGCAGAGATTGTCTTAGTGATTTGCTCTGAGCTGGGATTGTGACCCCTGCCTTCTGATTCCACTCCAGTGCGCCCCTCCCTTCTCCCCTCCCACCCCTGCACTCGGGCCCTGTGTCCCTCTGCTCACCTTCCCTCCTTCTGTTCCCAGGGGCTCCATGTTGATCGCATCTGCAGGGGTGGCTCTTTGAATCTTGTTTAGTTCAAATCAAAGTTAGTGATCCCAATCCTCTCTTCCAAACACCCATTTCCCCAGCCTCCCGTGCAGCTCAGAGCCACCAGTTCTGGCCAATCTGACACGCGGGAGGGCTCTGAGCGGTTTCCCTCGCTGTTCCAGTGGGCATCCCCACCCCTCTGCTGTGCTCTCTTCGTGTTTTAAATATGGATGTGGAGGGCTGTGGTCCCCAACCCCTGGGCTGCAGACCGGTGCCAGTCTGTGGCCTGTTAGGAATGGGCCACACAGCAGGAGGTGAGCGGTGGGCTGACCAGCAAGTGAAGCTTCATCTGCATTTACAGATGCTCCCCATTGCCTGCTTCACTGCATAAGCTCCGCCTCCTGTCGGATCAGGGGCAGCATTAGATTTTCATAGGAGCGCAAACCTTAATGTAAACTGCGCATGCCAGGGATCTAGATTGTGTGCCTCCTTATGGGAATCTAATGCCTGGTGATCTGAGGTGGAGCTGAGGCGGTGATGCCAGTGCTGGGGAGCGGCTGCAAATACAGATTGTCATTGGCAGAGAGGTTTGCCTGCATGATAATGTAATATGCTTGAATCATCCCCAAACCATCCCTCCCACCTCTGTCTGTGAAAAAATTGTCTTCCACGAAACTGATCTCTGGTGCCAAAAGGGTTGGGGACAGCTGGTGGAGGGGACGCTTGGGGCTGAGGCCAGCCCTCCTGTGGCCACAAGGAAATAAGTCTAAGGGCAAAAAGGCAACTCAGTAGGGGCAAGACTCAGAAAAATCAGGGAGAGACTGGGTCCTTGGTAAGCTCGTTGAGTCTCCACCCTAACCCAGGGATCACCTACCCCCAGATATTAATAAATGTCTTACTACTTAAGCAGCTGGGTGGACATTTTGCTACTTGCGGACGAAAGCCTTCCTAACGGACATAGATTCTGTTTCCAATCAGCACCCTCCATCCTCAGTTCATTTCCTCAGCTTCCTTCTGCATCTCAGTTCTCAGCCTCACATTAACTTTTATGGAACCAGGCTTGGTCCCTATAGGACAGGAAGTCATAGGACCCAAAGCTCTTTTTAGAGCTATGGTTGATTTTCCTAACTCTTTACTGTTTTCTCTTTCCCAGTTGTGTTACTATGTGTGTGTTGTGTGTTTACAATGGCTTGCTTCATTTCTTTCCCGTGTGTACTTCTGCCCACTCTTTCGGAGTGCCCCAAACGTGCGTCTTTGGAACCGAGTGTTTTTCCTCCATCCATTCCTCTGTCCACTATTCTCTCACCTGGCTGGCTTCGTCCTGTCTTTCGAGTCTCAGCCCAGATGCTACCATCCCAGGGAAGTTGTTTCTAACCTGTGCACCTCTACTGTCCACAACACTGTTTTCATTTTCTTCATAAAAATTATCACTACCAGAAATTATCTTGTTAGTTCATTTAATGTGTTAATTCTCCCCTCCATCCAGAATGTATGTTGCACGAGAGCAGGGACTTTGTTTTGAGTTCTACTTTACCCACAGCACCTAGAACAGTGCTTGGCACGTAGTAGGAGCTCAGAATATATTTATAGAACAAATGAATAAAAGAAAGAAAGGATGGATATGAGGTACTTGCTCATCTGAGTACTTGGTTTTGTTCCCCAAGGGAATATTTCAGTATTTACAAAAGGTGAAGCAATTAGAGCATCCTATGCAAGGTGCTAGCTACAGAACGTGCTACCATTAAATTTCTATAATTTAAAATCCTAACTTGAAAGAACATATTTTAACATGGTTATTATTTCTCATTGAGATGAGCCTGATTTTTAAAAATTTTGTAACAGAAGAGACACTATTAATAAAAAAAAGAATAGTTATAATTTGAATGTGGTGTTATGATCAGAATCAAGAAGAATCACATTCTGAATTGACACTCTCTTCCTTATGATTCCACACTACGGGGAGAATTCTTAAATCTTAGCATCAACAACATACTACTACACTTATTTGTTTACTGTTTTGTCTCCCACTCACCTGAAAGCCCCTAAGGGTAGTGACTATGGCTGAAACAGCTTTGATCTGCAGTGCAGTGACATATGGTAGCATTCCATAAATGTTATTTTGAATGGATGATTCTAAACATGATATGAATTACATAAAATATCCCATTGACATATTTTGCTCTACAATTAATTACAATGAAACTAAAAACAAAACAAAACAAATAAAACCTTTATATTCCCATGACAATCTGTGATAGCTGTTTTGGTATTTGGAAGATACTTTTATCATTATCATCATCCATCCCTTCCTTCCTTCCTCCCTTTTTTTTCTTTCTTTCCCATTCAAGATATGTTCTTTCTTCCTGTAGTTTTTATGCCTGAATAAGCATGAAGAATCAGGAAAGGAAATTATGACCATGCCTGAAAGATGTTGATAAAGTCACTGGGGAGGAAAAGATGGGGTGCTTTAGTTTTATTTGCAGGAGAAGAAAATGACTAAGGTGTTGATAATACTGATCACCGTAGGGGAAGAAGCATAATTAAGAATGGCAAAGGGACGCTTAGACTGAAAACTTGGAACTCCTGCAGAAGAAGCGAACATATATTCCTTTACAGAGAGGTGCATTTAATGATGGAATAATTTCCCCCAGGGGAGAAATGAGAATGCCATTGTTCAGGGGAGGAAAGAGCAGTCATTACGTGTAGTTTGTTGAATGTCCACAGTGTAGTTAGGCATAGGACAACGTCATGTCCACCCCCAGCTTTCAGTCCATGGGATGAGATGACACAACATGACATCAAGCCCATTTCCTGAGACCTGTCTGTGATATTAAGATCTTTGGCCTGGATTTCAGGACCCTGTTAGCTGTAGAAAACTTCTGAGGCTAAAGGGGATAGGGATGGAGGAATGGAAAGGGAGAGACCACTTAGTAAAAAAGAAGACAAAAGGAATCCGGGTACCCAAAGAAGAAAGACTAGAGACTCTTGGGAATGTGAAATGGAAGGAAGGTTTGAACACTAAGGAAAAACAATGATGATTCTGAACCCTGGATTGTATGAGCATCCAGTAGGCAAATGGCAAATGGGTCCACACAGGCCAGCATGGGTTGGAGCATGTTGTATTTGATGGATGAGGTGTACAGTATAGAGCAGAGAAGCAGGGTTTAATTTAGCACTGCCTATGCATTCTCTTCATTGCATTTCTGACCCTGTGTTCTGACTTCATCCTTGACTGCCCGCCTTAGTGATGGTCTCTGGTGGTGCTATGGTTCAAATATGGTTTGTTTGGCCCCACCAAGTCTCATGTTGAAATCTGATCCCCAGTGTCAGACCAGATGTGGGACCTGGTGGGAAGAGTATAGGTCATGGGGCAGATCCTTCATGAACGGCTTGGAGCTGTCTTTGCTCTAGGAGTTCCCATGAGGACTGGTTGTTCAAAAGAGCCTGGCACCTCCTCCTCTCTCTTGCTTCCCCTCCCACCCTGTGGTCTGCACACACTGGCTCTCCTTCATTTTTCTCCGTGAGTGGAAGCAGCCTGAGTCCCTCTCCAGAAGCAGATGGTGGCACCATGTTTTTTTACAGCTTGCAGAAGCATGAGCCAAATTAACCTCTTTTCTTTATAAATTACCCAGCCTCAGGTATTCCTTTATAGCAACACAGACAGAGTAAGACAGGCAGGCTATTGCTTACCTTCCCTGGATATCACCTCAAAATGTTCCCATTCAACTCAATAAACATCTACTGAGGCAATGCAAAGCCTGTGGCACTATGGGGCTACAACCACAAACACAAATCTCAGACACTTAGAGACATCAGACATCATTTAATCCAGTCCTAGTCTTCACCGGAACATCATCTAGTTCCTGCCTGAACACATGAAGTGACGAAGAATTCACTACCATCCAAGGAAATCTATTCTCTAGAGAGCTCTATTAGGAAGATATTCCTCATACAGAGACAAAATATCTCTACATAAGATGAATTTCATTCATTGATCCCACTTGCATGTCTTGAAGTTATACAGAACTAATGCAGCAACTCTTCCCTTTGATAGCCCTTCAGACATTTGAAGGGGTCATATTGTCTTGAGTCTTACTTTTGGGAAGCTTAACATCATCAGTTCCTTTGGTTGTTTCAAATATAATAAGATTTTAATTCCCTTTTGGGCTTGGCCACTCTCCCCTGAATGTGCTCAAATTTATCTTACAGCGTGGTGCCTTGATGTATACACACTCATCTAGGTATGGTCTACCTATCTCAGAGCACAGCAGGACAATCATTGCCTCCTTTGGGACACCGGTCTCTGTTAATAGAATTTATGAGTCCATTGACTTTGGCAGCATTTCACTGTTGAAATTCATATTGAGCTTATTGTCAACTTTGGCGTATACATTTTTTTTAAAAAGCATGGTTACGCCTCTTTGATCCTGTATTTGCAAAGTTGTTTTCTATACCCACATTTGGACCTTGGTTGTATCCATATAACACTTCATTTTCTTAAAATTTCAAATTTTCTTAAAATTTGAAAATAGTTTCAGTATGCAGATATTAGGTCATTAAGTATGAAATGTCCAATTTCCTTAAGTACTAAGTTTGACAGTTGATGTCTCTGACATTTTCACTTTGACACATCTTGTTTATTTTTGTCATGAAGGTACTCCCGCAGTCTTTCAAACACATGGTTTTGGGCTTGTGATTGCCTTTCAAATTTTTTTTAGAGCAATTTTTGTGGAACCATAGATGAGTCAAAAAATTGTGTTATTTTCGAATATGAGTTCTGTAGTGGAACCAATGCTGCCCAGACAGCTT